GACTCTTCTGTACGTCATCGCATGGCCGAGGCGGAAGATGCTCTGAAGAAAACAGTAGACAAAGGTTTTTTTAGCATTTAATTGAGACACACCTTTTATGTTTAATGAACTATACAATTTCTGGAAGAACATGCAGCTTGTATAATGACAAAGTGAATAAATTTTATGTTTTAAAATAAGCATCTTTGTAAACCGTGGTCTTCCTAGAAGAACTGTAATGAATAATGAATGAATGCAATGGCAAGCAGTTAAAACCAGCTTTAAGCTGGCGCGAAGTGAAATGCTATAAAGCTTTTAAATCAAAGTTTCCAATGGAGTTTTCATGAAAAGTAGAGGCATTTAGACCATTTCCCCAGAAGCAGAGAACATGACATCTGAAGCGCCTTATTCTGCGTGACTCAGGAGGAGGGAGGGGAATCGTTAACACGCAGCAAAGGAGCTCATGCTCCTTTCTGCTCCGTCCTTCCGTCCTCTGTCCGTAGGGATACATCAGAGGAGGCTGGATACGGTGCCGTAGCAGGGTTTAGGGCACTGGGTGGGGGAAAAAAAAACCAGTTCCCCTCTCCCTGAGACATCAGGGAGTGCAACCACGGTAATTGCCATGGCCAGCATCACCTGGGGCCTCCACCCACACCCCCTGCCCAGGGCTCCGGGCACTATTTAAGCTCAGCCCTGGGTCTTTGGCTGCTTTCAGGGTGGTTCTGGTCTGGGTCTGTTCTGTTCAGTTTTCCTGGTTTGAATTTGGCTCCTCGGTTTCCCCTGGGCCTGTTGATGGGAGCTGCTGCTCCGCTTGGGTGCTGCGGGACCGTGCCCTGCGGGTGAGGCTAGTGCCCACCCTGTGTCGTGGCCACCTTCAGCTCCCAGTTTGCCTTTCCCTTGGGAGTAACTGGTCCTTGCTGCTCCCTGAGCCATGTTGCATTATGCAAATAGCACAAACAACTCCTAATGAGAGATGAGACCCTCTGGTGTCCAAGCTAAGGATAAAGCAAGCTCTTACGAAAGGTAAGTGTTATAAAGGTCCCTCCTTGCCCCTTTTTCTGTGTCTGTCTCTTAAGAAAAATGACCCCCGCTCAGCTGTGTGCTGTGGGTGGATTTTGTTTTACTCTCTATTAGGTATCCACAATGTAGACTTTTACATCTGAGCAAAAAGAAGTTTGGGTTATTGGTATAACACCACAGTGGGTGTGCTTAGGTCACCATTTCCATGGCCATCTGAAAGAAATCATGCTAGGAGTATTTATTTTTTATTTTAGCTATGAAAAAAACCCCAATGCCTGGACTAACTCAGATGCAGCCATGTGCAAATTAACATTAAGCGACAGATGACCCCCCCCTCTCCTCTCTGGGGGGACCTGGCATCCCGGCTCCTGTTGCTCAAGGTCTCTAACAGGTTGTAGTCAGTCGTCTCCGCTTTGGAGAGCGTGAGACTCTGCAGCATCCCTCGGTGGCACCTTCTCAGCTTTGCAGCCGTCTTGGGGAAGAGTCGGCTGGGAGGAAATATCATTTACAACCACCCCATGGCAAGAAAATAGGGGGGGAAAAAATACTTCTCCATAGCTAGTTACATTCGGTTACGCTAAACTCCTTGCCCACAGGGAGAAATACCACTCCCAGCTGCTGCTGCCTCTCCTCCTAAAGCAGATGTACGATGCAGGTCAGATGAAGCCCATTTCTCTCCCACAGAGCAAGCTCGTTTGGCAGACTTAGATGTCTTGCAGCTGTAGGAAGCAAGGCGCAGGATGAGATCCACGCGGGTGGCTGGGAGCGCTGCTATGCTGTTGGGTAGAGGCAGAGACAAGCCGGAGCTTTCATTCCCCAGGGATGAAAGTGCCCGGGAGTTCGGCAGGAAAACATCCCAGCTGCTCGGGCGGAAGCCTCCTCCAGGTCTGGAGGCAAAGCAGCGGAGGTTTTTCGGCACAGACA